TAATTCATCGAATTTCTTAGCCAGTTAATTCAAGGTGCGCAACATTTATTTAAGAAAAAGTAATACTGAAATTATCATTATGTCGCAATTAATTTCTATTATTACTCGTCGACATAAAAATCAATTTACCTGTTAGAAATTAAATGATAAAGTTTCTTATTCGACACACAAATATTTTGCACGAAATATTTGTTTTAATATTTAAATGTTTTTAATATTACTTAATACAATACAATTTTATATTTATTATTATTTTTTTAAACTTTAATATTTACTTTTAATACGAAATATTTTGTTGTTTAAAACACTTTGAAATAATTTTTATACGGGAATAAAGTTGTAGTATAGTTGTTATTAATTATTATGTTATTTAAATCTATAGATTGCTATAGCAATACGAATTTTCAATTAAGCACCTTTCTGCCATATTTCTTTTATTCAGATTACTTTTTTTAGATAATAAATTCAATGCCACAAAATAATAATTCCTTATTCTTATTTTTTGGAATAAATAGTATGTACCTCGAATTTCGATGAATTAAAATGTTGGTTATCACTCGTAAACAGAATTTTAATTCGGCGCTAGTGCATAGTGCGGTTGTGTTACGTACTACTGCCACAAGCGAAATCACATAAGGTCGAAGGTACATGAGCTCGAAAATAAATTAGGCAACGGTGCATTCAAATTCAGTGATGCCATTTTATTAACTTACCAGTTTTGCTTTCCTTAATTTCTTACCTAATTTATTAATTAATTTATTGAAATATCCACCATTAATTACATTCATGTTAAGTTAGTGGATTATTTTCAATTAAGTCTTATATTCTTTTTCTATGCTTATTACTGTACAGTAGGGTGGGCCGAAAATCCGCTTTTTTAGAATTTCGTTTAGTAATAGCAAAAATTTTGTTCATTATGTTGTAAAAAAATTTTGTGTAAAAGATTAAAATTTTCGATCAACATCCTAGGCTCACCCAACGCAATTAAAGATCAGAATTATTAAATTATTTACTGTCGAAAATGCCACTTTTTGAAAAAAAATCGCAATTATCTTGATAGTTATCAATCGCTAAAAATCTTACCAAGAGATGTTTTTGTAGGAAATATAATTTTCCAAACAACCAAGAGTTTCTGAATAGTTTTTTATCGATAAACATTATAATGTTAAATATATTCAAATGGCTAAAAATTACAATTTTGATACTAAAATCGGGTTTATTTCTGAAACTATCCATCTGACGTAATTTTGTGTAAGGACCTTTTTTGTAGAGCATAAAATTTCCAATCGAAATTTATTTATAACTTATAAGTTAATAAATTTATTTATAACTTATAAGTTAATAAAAAATGTTTGTGAACATTTTGATCTTTAATTGCGTTGGGCGAGCCTAGGAGGTTGATCGAAAATTTTAATTTTTTACACAAAATGTTTTTACAACATAATGAACAAAATTTTTGCTATTACTAAACGAAATTCTAAAAAAGCGGATTTTCGGCCCACCCTACTGTACAGGTAGTCGGCTCGGACACGTAACGAGTAGGACAATTCTGGTAATTATTTAAATATCTTCTTTTGCGACAAATCCTATTGCATAGACAACTACCACAATTAAATTGTCCATTAGGAGAGTCTGAAATCCATATCTAAATTATTTCGTATAAAGTGAGGTTAGCCAGCAGGGCAGTCTTGTTAACATGCACCCCTTACATAATTTAATAATCATAATCATGTCCATATACATTATTGATAGCACTGAAAATTTTGGACTGCACTGTTGCCTAATTTATTTTCGAGCTAATTTACCTTCGACGTTCGCTTGGCGTAACACAACCGCACTATGCACCAGCGCCAAATTAAAATTCTGTTTACGAGTGATAACCAACATCGAGAAAATTCTTCTTGCGCTTACAGATTTAAATCTTGTCTAATTTTTATTTCAAAATAAACATTCTACTTTAACATAATTTTAAATTAATGAATGAAATGGTACACGGAAAAAAATAATCGGTAGAGGCTACCGATTGGCAATCGGTAGCAGCTACCGATTGCCAATTGGTAGACTCTACCGAAAAAATCGGTAGACTCTACCGAAAAAATCGGTAGTCTCTACCGAAAAAAAATCGGTTCCCTCAACCGATTTTTATCGGTAGTAGCTACCGATTATTTTTCGGTAGAGTCTACCGATTTTTTCGGTAGCCGTAACCGAGAAAATCCGCATCGAGGCGCTGTTACAAAATTTAAAAAAATATATTAATACTTAAAAATATTAACATTTAAAAATAATATTAAACATTATTCAAGTTAATAAAAATTACTCTTTTCAGTCAAACATTTTGAGATTATATTCATTGTAATTATTAAAAAATGCTATTCAAAGAAATGGGTTTTTTTATCATCTATTTAAAAGAAAGTTTATTTATCCAATTATAAATACATACAGTTTTGTCAATTATTTTATATGTAAATATAATTTTAATTTACATATATTTCTAGGTATGGACATATTGGTGATTTTAGTACTGAAAAAAAATACTATTTTTTTTAACTTCTCGCTAAAAAAAAAATTTTCAAAAATTGGTAATGGATTTTTTCGGTAGCCTGCACCGAAAAAATCGGTAGACTCTACCGAAAATAATCGGTAGCTGCTACCGATAAAAATCGGTTGAGGGAACCGATTTTTTTTCGGTAGAGACTACCGATTTTATCGGTAGAGTCTACCGTTTTTTTCGGTAGAGTCTACCGATTGGCAATCGGTAGCTGCTACCGATTGCCAATCGGTAGCCTCTACCGATTATTTTTTTCCGTGTATAATTTAGATATAAACACCCTTTTTGAATAGAAAAAAATATTCATACAATAAAAACTGAGGCTTAAAAATATAGATCACACCAGAATGATGTAAATATATATGGAAACTTATCTGATACACCAAAAACTAAATTGGTAGATTTTAATTTATAATTAAATTTAATTTAGTAATTTTTATGAACGATTATATTTGCTAGGCAATTTTTAAATTCGGTAATTTTTGTTTTGAGTGAATTTTTTGATGTCATTAAAAAGTAAAACGGCGTGCCATATATATTTGAACTTGTTAATAATTTAAATTTTAAAAATCAAGGGGCCCACTCATGGCAATCTAAGATTAACCAATATTTAAAGTAATTATAACCATTTTTCTAATTCCTGATGGATTGCAGCTAGGGGCTCCCGAGACCAAAATATTAAAAATCTTTTTTAGTTTTGACTTTATATTTTGTTTTTTTTATAGCATGTTATTCTTTAGAAACTTGAAATCTCCGGGGTATTTTTTTTAATCAGTTTACATTTTATGGTAAAGCTGGGCCCTGAAATATTTATACCTATACTAGGGTTTTTAAGTGTCTAAAAAAAACCGAAAAAATTGGGAAAAAACAGGCCTTAAAAAATGTATTTTTTGGGTTAAATTGAATTTTTTTTTTAAATATATACATTTGAAAGAAGAAGCAATCAACAACTTAATATTAATTTAATTAAAAAAAAAAATAAAACTAAACTATAAATTAAATTAAATTGATTTAAGAAAATGATTTATGATTATATTCAGCGTCGGAAATTCAGGTACCTACATATCTGTAAAAATTTGTAAATTTTTAGAAAAATTGACTTTTGGATTTTTTTGTATTACTCTTTGAATAAAATGAGAAAAATGTAACTCAATTTTTCTGAAAATTTTGAAACCCTAAATGTTAGATAGTTTTTTGTTGGACTGAGAAAGACTACTTAAGATTTGGGGGACTTCTGGACCGGGGGCCCGGGAATGCCGTCAAATAATGTCCCAAATAAAACAAAATTTGTATTTTTTAATGTTGGCACACATTTTGAGATTAATAAGCGTTTTTATAAAAATTACTGCTTACTACCCGAAAACTTCCTTGTTTCCTTCTTGTTGAGCCACCCTGTATAGCAACCGTTATTACTGCACATCTCATTAAATAAATAATTTATAAAAAAAATAGTTTTGCAAAAAACATTTTCTTAAAAAAATAATTCCCGAGTAAACGAAAGAACAAAGAAAACGGGAAATTTTTTATCTAGAGAAAATTAAAAGTCCCTTTATATTTAGCATTGTTTTAAAAACATTAACAAGGCAAAGATATGCAAATTTAGTAGTTATCGGAGCTTGTAAAATGCACAGAAAAATCCCTAAAAAGGTATAAATGCAAATTTGGCTCAGACAGGTTGTTATTGATTGTTTTAAATGGCTGTAAGAAAAAAAAACAGTATTTTATTTTATTTTATTATCAATATACCTACACATTAAAGGATACTTAATGCACCCTGTATTTACCCACGTTATATTCTATAAAAAGTTAATGAACACCTACTGTAGTTTAAAACAAGAATTTATCTTTTCTGAATATAAACTTTACAATTCTTTAATAAAACATTCAGTTCCTGATAATTTACTTGAACCATTCCACAATGTGTCGTTTTGGAAAATCTTGAAATTTATTGAATTTTTCAGAAAAAACCTGCAGGTAACTTTTTCGTGATCGGTTTATTAATGTGATCACGTACACGAATTTCTTTTAAATTTCTTGACACTCCCTTAAAAGTTGCGGACGACTACTTTATCCTTTTAAGATTTAACGTTACCCCCTGTGTTAGAAACGGGCGAGAAAGTTTTTTGCAACCATTCCGACAATTCAATTTACAAAAAAGTTTACATCTTTCGAACTTTAAAATAAATATGTGTATAAATTTTATACTGAGTATAGTAAAGATAGAAAATGTAGAGTATATAATTTATACTTTACTATTAAGACCCTGTATACAAAGAAAAATAAAGGTAAAACTACTTAAATTAAATTCAAAATTCTACCTGGAAAATAACAATTGCGTTAGTACCTTTGAAAATATATTTTATACCTAGTTTATTTAAAGTAAACAGGCGACGTCAACAAGTATGGTGTACATTTCTGTTGGCTTACTTATAAGTAAGTTAAAACAATAAAAATGTTTAGTGATGAAATTATAAACAGTGAAATAAATCGTATAAGAGTTGGGAAATCGTTTCAAGTAAAATGTCCGGAGATAGAGACCACGAGTCGAGAAAGTATCAAGGATAAAGACCTATTAATATGGAAGCCATCAATTGATATCCCAGAGGAAAAATGTAAGTTAAATACTAAATTATAATAATTTATTTAAATGTTTGAGATTTTTGTTTAAATTGTGTATCATAATTTTATTTATCTTTTTTATATTATCAACCACAGTTTTCGGTGAAAATTGGTATATTGATGTCATAGCAAAAATATTTACATATAACTAATTAATTTATAAAATTATATTTTATTACCTTAAACTTTCCAACCTTTATTAATTAAGTTAAAGCCATACACGTCAGTATGTTACAAAACTAAATGTTAACAATATTTTTCAGTGGATGATTACATTTCGCAAGCTAAAAACAAATATGGATATAATGACGAGCAAGCTTTGGGTATGTTATTTTGGCACAAGTACGATTTGGAAAAGGCGACGATAGATTTATCGAATTTCACGCCATTAAGTGAAACCTGGTCAGATGAAGAAAAAGCTACTTTCGAAGAGGCATTTAAAATATTCGCCAATAACTTGAACAAAATACACAAAAGGGTAAACAAATTAATTTATAATATTTATGAATGTAAATCTGATGATTTATATTTTTAGTTACCTGAAAAAAGCATTGGAAGCGTTGTAAAGTATTATTATGTATGGAAAAGCGGACCTGTTGGTTCGATTTTGGTAAGAAAAAAGAAAAAGAAGACTGGATCATCGAAAGCCAATGGAAGTTCCCCAGATTCATCAGGATCCACTGAGGGTAGTAAACAGCACGATCATAGAACTTTAATATAAAAGAAAATATTTCTAGTAGTTTTTAAAGCATGTAAGGAATTGTAAATAATAAAGTAGAATAAATTTATTTTGTCTTATTAATAAACAGTAAAAAAAATTGTAGATTTAATAACAAAATCCTATATCAATAATTCAACCAACAAACCTTTTGTATACCCACTAACAAAAGTAATTGTTGGAAATTGGGAACTTAAATAAAAAGAATTTTGATAAAAATGTTGCTTTATTAATCAATGTCCTAAACAAAAAAAAAGAACACTTACCTACATAAATCAACGCAAAAATAACATAGACACAATTTAATGACACACCATTCTGAAATCATCAAATATATAATTATAATTACTGATAATTATCAGTACTAGTACCACACTTACTGATATATTTCATAACTTTTACCCACTTCAATGTATCCCATAATTTTAGTTTGAAAACCAGTGATGGCATCTTTTTTCGGATACTTACCAATTCGTAAACTCGTTAAATGGTTTTACAAAAAATTGTTAAAATTGGATTTTTATTACAACGTTACATTTTATATGGGATTCCTCCAGCATTGCCTGTATCCTGTTTTTATTTAAAAATATTTATTTTGGTAAAGATTTGTGTCGAATTTGTCCCTTTTAAAACTGTTAAGAGTCTTATACAAAATAAACAACCAATTTTAAAAAATGTTAAAACAAAGCAAGCACTAGTGACCAACGAGACAAAGTTTTGTCTCGTTTCGCCGATTAAATAAGAAGTCTTGTATTGAGTCTCTCGCAGCTAGTACGAGAGCCTGGCAAAAGTATCGAAATCTCGTCATGCATAATCTTGTTCCAGTCCAGTACCGTCAAATTGGCGGCACGTTACAGTTAAGGGTTATTAAAAGCCATTCTTGTTTTTTATATAATAATTTATACTGTCAAACCGCAAACATTTTTATAATACGTTAAAATCCAACTAATATCTCATTTGAGTCATACATGACATATATAAAATTGCTATCAGCAATTTATTGTTAAATAATTTAACGAGCTTAAAACATGTTAATAAAAAGTGTTATTATTTTAATTTTCTTAAGTAAAATAAGGACTGAAAAATACAGCTATGTTTGTGTTACTAATAGTTCGATAGGATCATGGAATAATGCTACAAATGAAGGTAACCTAAATTCTAAAAATAAATGATCTCTGCTATAAAAATTAAAACTTAAATTGTGAATTAAAAATATGATATGATATATTATTTTTAGGTACATCTCCAGTTTATGTTGGAGCTCACAAAAAATTAAAGGATTTCACAATTAGTCCTGTTGATGGTAAAAATACAGACTTAGAACCGATATCAGTGAACAATATTAATTATATCACTGACGCAAGATGGGAAGATTTTTCTGTATATGGAAATAATACTAAAATATGTGAACATGGAAAATTTGATTTACCTATAAATCTAGGATTTTCGGTTAGACTACTTAAAGCCTCGACTAAACTTGAGATTAAGAATGGAAATACAACTATAATAACAATAACTTTTAGAAAAGAAAAATACGGAGATGCAACATTTCTTGTAGCTAATCAAAATGTTACTAAAAGAATTCCGGTAAGTGTACGTTTATTAATTACACTGGTTAAACAAATTTTACCAACACTTTTTCTAGGGTAGTTTGGGTGGGGTGATTTCAAAAATGATTATTTTGCTTTTGATATTATTAAAATATTGTGAAAAACGTTTTTTTTTCTTATGCAAATTCGTATATATATATTTTAATTAAGGATCAGTAGCTACGAGTTCTAATTTAACCCAGGTATGCCTAATTTACTATAGGTAGTACGGCTCAAAAAGTCCCAACCCGCTCAGTGTAGGCCGCGTGGAACGTATTTAAATGCATAAACCCATTCAGAATATATAAGACAACGAGTGTATGAGCATTAAATTGACTTTTTAAATCTAGTTTGTGTTCAACATAGCCTCAAAGTTAGTCAACATATTAAAATGGAAGATGACGTCCGCTTCGCAAGGTAAGTTAATTGCAAATAAATAAACAAATATATAAATTCCATGTATTCAAAAACTTAACAATAAATATTGCTATTAGCGGTGTGCATTACTAATTTGACAATATTTTTAAAATCTGTAGTCATTTTGAGGGGTAAAACAGATGTGTACTAAATATAGTACATTAGGAAAATATATGTCCATTAAAATAATTCAATTACAGGGGATTTTCACTTCACGAAGCTCTTGCATTATTGGGTCATGAAAGATTTGGATCCAATTAGAACTGAATTGGATAATAATTCTAAAGTAAAAGAATTAGAAAGCCCTTTGGAACTGTTTTCAAAGTTCTTTGATGAGGAAATGATATAATGTATTGTAACTTCTAGCAATAAATACGCTCAACAAAAGAACAAGAAACCAAACATAGAAAAACAAGAAGTCTGGGCTTTTATTGGAGTTCTTGTACTTAGTGGATATGTGCAAGTGCCAAGACGAAGAATTTTCTGGGAGCGAGATAAAGATGGTCATAATGTCATGATTTCAAAAGCGATATCGAGAGATAGATTCGAGTACTTGTTTTCCAATTTTCATGTTTGTGGCAACCAACAGCTCGATCAACAGGACAAATTTACAAAAATAAGGCAAATTTTCACACTTTTGAATAAAAAATTTATGGAGCACTGGCCTCTCGAGGAAATGCACTCGATCGATGAAGCTATGGTTCCCTACTTTGGTCGTCATGGGTGCAAACAATATATTCATGGAAAACCTATACGATACGGTTACCAGTTATGGGTTGGCAGTACCAGATTGGGTTATTTGAACTGGTTTGAACCGTATCAAGGAGCGTCAACAAACATCAGTAAAAAATATAAAGATTTTGGAGTTGGTGCAGGAGTTGTTTTGGAATAAGCTCAAGCCCTGCGCAAAAAATGGCCAGAAATAAAATTTCACCTTTACACAGCCATTCCTTTGATAGAAGAGTTGACAGTACTAAACTTTCACGCTACTGGTACGGTGAGAGAAAACCGATTAGGAGGAGTCCCTCTTCAAGATTCAAAAGCGATCAGAATATCATTGCAGTAAAGTGGCATGACAATAGTGTAGTATGTCTTTGTTCAAACTTTACCGGAGTATCACCGATCCATATGGTCAAGCGTTATTCACAAAAAGACAAAAAAAATATCTATGTAGAGCAGCCTCACCTTATCCACTTGCCAATATGGGAGGCATAGATCGATCTGATCAAAACTTAGGCAAAAAATGGTATAGTTCTTTGTTCATGCACTCTATGGCATTTACATCGCCTAAGCGGAGGAGATTTGGACCAGTTGAGTTTTAGACGAATAATCGCTTGTGCTTTATTTGTACAAAATAAGAAGAGGACATCTTATTAAAAAGGACATGCTTCACAAGACAACGATCTACGTTATGACCGCCTGGACCACCTTGTCATACCTCAAGATAAACAAACCCGATGTAGTAAAAAAAAACACTACAAGATGTTCCAAGTTCGATGTCGGAGTGCATGTAAAGTGTTTTGTGCAGTTTCACAGCAAACAATGATTTTGACCCAATTAATATTAATGTGCCTAATGTCCTATATATAGAACGGCCAAAATTTTGCCCTTTTTAATATATTTTTTTTGTTTTTTAACTTTTTATATTCTTTTTGTTACTAATGAAGTTTAATTAACAAAAAATGTATATGTTTTATTTACTAACTACCTTTTAGGCATATCAGGGTTAACTAAAAAAAATAAATTATACATGTATAATTGTGCACATTTATAAAATGAGTTGTGCACATTTATAAAATGAGTTCTTCAAATAATCTATTTTTAACAAAATTTTTGGCAAAAACTAGACAATTTCAAGTTCAAAGTACGTTTACGTTAACAATTTTTGTCCGATTTTGTATAGCTTCATATTTTTACTTTATTGTATTAACATTTTAACGCAATCAAATAAAAATTGCCAAATTTTAAAATGTATATTGTAAAGATTTCTCCTTACACCAGGTTTTATGAAAAATTAATAAATTAACTATTTTATGACTATGGCTCGTGATCGTCTTACCAAAATTTGGACCTCTATAGAGGTCCACGTATACGTTGTGGTTACCTGTTACTTGTTTTATCAAATACATTGCTTTAAGAATCATACTTGGGAGAATTAGGTATACAAAAAAATAAAATACAGTGTTTAGTTTGCCCCAATTCAATTTACTTTACAAACAGTTAAAAAAACAAGGGGTGGCTCTTAGGGAGATACGACCAGGGAAAAAGAGCTTGAGAAAAAACCCTGTTCGGCTATGAAGTAGCAAAGGATTACACGATTAGACATTGTTTCTTTTAAAAGTTTATGCAAATCAATGGAATGACACGAGGCTTGTTACGCTATCTACCCCCTACATGTTCAAAAATAGGAAGAACGTTGTTAGTTTAACAGGGCAGTTAACTGTTAGTCTGTCAACGTTAACGTTGCCCTGTGGAGAACGAGGTCCACACTGGAAGCAACTCGCGTAAAGTGAAGGTTCGGGATAAAAGTTGCGATGCCACCTAGAGAACCTAGGTGACCAGTTATCCCTCACGGAGGGGAGCATTTTAGTATCTACTGCAAACTACGTACTAAAGAAAAAGGAGCATTAAAAGTTTAAAATTAACGGTCAATACTCCCTTTTAAGCAACGAAACGTTCTGTATTACAATGATATTTGTTTTAAAATTGCCGAAAAAAGAATGCATAATCGTGTTGGGGAAGGTCTAAACATTTGAGTTACCGGGACAGTATACAACTAAATTAAGCCTAAGACAATAAAAGAAAGGAATATAAACTTTTACATTTAGCAGTGTAACGAACGGGGCATGGGGGGCACACATTAATAATTAAAAAGAATATTAGAACCACTAAAAAACTACCTTTGGCCAAAACACGTGATCGTCTAGTTTAAAGAAATTAAGTTAGGACCCCTTTTTGTTGTGAATACGGTTCTGGATACGTAAGTACTTGAGCAAT